TTTATTTCAAAAGTTATCTCCTCTTTGTTTAATAATTTTGCTTTAAAAATGTTATGTACTGGCAACAACAAGGAATGTTTAAAGATTAATCCTTACTCAGAGTCTCTGTCAAGTGGTTTCTCTGTCCGTTTCTACAAACTGTTTCCTGAGATCACTATTAAAGATATTAGAACTTTTTCAACAAGTTTACTTAAAATAGAGAAAAGTTGAAACAACAGTTATACATTATTCATCCTGAGAAAAATTGATCTTTTGATTATCTGATTTTAAACATAATTAGGGAAACATTACATATTACTTAAATACAGACAAACTAAGAACTCAAAAGATTTAAACTTTTTCATTCATTCATTCATTCATTCATTCATTCATTCATTTAATGACATAATACAATTATCAATGGCCCTTCAGAACGTTGCTGTGGTTCTTACAGGTAGGGGACATATTAATTGCTTGTAATACTATAATAATTTCTTGTTCATTTTGCGGGTCGATTAACACGTTCCGGCAATTGGCCTACTCTGTCGTATTTTAACCTGTTATTAATCTTAAATGTGTAAGTCTGGTTTACACAGAATTAATTATAGTTCGTTATTGTTTGAAGCTATAACGTTTAGGACGCACTTTCGAATCCGTTCCCGGAACCAACCAATATATACTGAGCAATGAATGATAAGTTTCTCGCTCAAGAAAATAACGGATTGTCCCCGACTGGGTTTGTGCTCACACGGCGAGCGATACATAGATGACTAGTCCGACGCGCTAGCTACTCGCCATACTAATACTTTAATTTAATATAAATGTACATGCATAATAAGTATCATAACATCATGTCATGCTAATAAAGATATTGATTTCATCTGCAAGTTATGATTTTATTTTTAAAAGATGTGAGGGATATAAAATTGGATTCTATTCCACATATTGGCACCTTTGTATCGAAAAAATATTTTTTACCATAATTCATGCGGTGTTTAGTTATGTCATTATGCGACGCAGATCGATAATGGGAGGAAACCCTGAATAAATTAAATTAGAAAGCAAAGGTAATGTACATTTTTCAAGAAATGTCCATATACAACACCATAGGAATGAAGAGTTGAAAAACATCAATAGCAAGAACGATATATTGACAAACATGACTTTCATGAAAATAAATTGAACAACTATCTCGCAAAATACAGCATATACAAATCAATGTTTACAAAAATTAAGATTACGTTTGGAACTTAAAAAAGTAATAGCGTTAAAATGACAACATGGAAACATTCAATACAACCTGGCAACAATTTTTCATCCGAATAATGCTTTTTTACACATATGCTAGCAATCGAAATCCCAATTATTTATCCATCTTTTTCGACCTTTCAGTTTCATTCAATAACCCAAATGCTATAATCATGAGTTATTGTTAATAAATGTGTAATGTAAAGTCAGTAAGGATGATTACCTGACCTATATTCATCGTTTGGCCGCAGAGAATAAATTGGATGGGACCCAAAATAATTGCTTTAAAACTTCATTAAGGACGATTCATATTTGTTACAGAAATTTTACATCATATATTAGCCTGGGTTCCAGTCTGTCGATTTTTAATGTGCTTCAGTTCGACAAATATATATCATTAAAAACACGAAAGAGTATGAAATAACGCGTATGTTATGAGAAAGCAAAAAATATCAACGCCTGACTAACAATATATATGACAAGTTTACTTCACAAAAATGATAAAGATTAAATAGACATTTCTATAACTGTAAAATTTTACACTGCTCGGCGGCTAGGCCACCAACTTCAAAAAAATGATAAAATAAAAAGGTTTTCTCAAAATGATATTTGCTTTTTATATGCTAGTATCTTTTAAGTAACAAGTATTGTCTTTAGAACTTCATTGAATTGCAAGTTATTGTTTACATAACATTTCTACAACACTATATTTTTTGGCTTACAAGGCCGCTGGACCGCCAGGCGCAAATTTCACAAAAATGTTTAAATAAGAAAGTTCTCTGAAAGTGATTTTTCTTTTTACATACCTTTTAAATATCAAGAATAGTCCTAAGAACTTCATAAAGTCCTATTTCATCATTTTTATGACATTTCTACAACTGTAAAATTTCCAGCTGCCAGGTTGCTAGAGAAATTAAAAACTTTTTACTGTCTTTTAAAGTTAATAAAGAGTCAATTTTCAATTTTCCACCAAACGTTTACAATATTAAAATCTAAGGCCGTAGGCCGTCAACTTCACAAAAATGATAAAATAAATAAAATTATCTACGTGTTTTTTTTCTTCTTATATATCCATTAGATAACAAGAACTGTGTAAATAACTTCATTAAATGCCATTTTATTGTTTAAAAAACATTTCTTCTTTATTTAAATTTTTGACTGCCAGGTTGCCAACTTCACAAAAATGATAAAGTAAAAAAGTTCTCTGAAATAATTTTTTTCTTTTTATATACCTTTTGAATACTTAAAAATTCATACATAAAGTTCCGTTTTTATTCATATTTTAAACATTTTTCTACAACTGTAAATTTCCGCTGCCATTGTGGTTAGAGAAAATAAACAAATTTTTAAACAACATTAAAATTTAGGCCGCAGGCCTTGGGCCGAAACTTTCACACAAATGATCAAATTAAAAAAAGTTTCTCAAGTGGTTTTGTTCTTTTAATATATCATTTAAATAAAAAAGAATTGTTTTAGAACTTCATTAAATCCCGTTTTAATGTTTATAAAACATTTCTACAACATTAAATTTTAAGGCTGTTAGGCCGCTGGATCCCAGGCTGCCAACTTCACAAAACATAAATATAGAATAAAAAAATATCTCAAAGTGCTTTTTATATAACTTATAAATATCATGAATAATCTTAAGAGCTTCACAATGTCCTGTAATATTAACATTTCTACAACTATAAAATTTCCGGCTACCAGGGTCGCTAAGAAAAACACCTGTCTAAATGTGTATTTTTTTTCCTTTTATGTACTTATAGTGTGTAAGATATGTCTTAAAAAAATAATAAGAAGTTATTTTAATTTCTTGGACAAACTTGTAATATTGAGGCCGCTAAGCCTCCATCTTTCAGGCGTCTAGCTCGCCAGGCCGCCAACTTTACACCGTAAGGCCGCTAGACCGTCAACTTCAGGCCGCAAACTTTACGCCGCCAGGCGGCGTGACCGTTTTTCGGCCAAACTTCACGGCTGCTAGGTTGCCAGGCACAAAAATTTCACACAGCAAGGGTCGCTGGCCACCAGGCCGTCAACTTCACGCCGTCAGGACGCTTGGCCGCTAATACGCCAACTCTTTACCGCTAGGTCACTTGGCCGCTAGGTCGCAAACTTCACACTTCTGGACAAATTCTATATGTGAGTGCCACTGGCAGTTGTTAAACAAACAAAATAACCGACGTTTTAAAACTAAATAGACTTACTCCTGAATATAGAATGAATTGTCTTTTTCGCTACAAACAAACCTTTACAGCTACAGCTTCGAGGGTTGACTTATCTTTGTGACCGTTTATGCATGATACAAGTTTGTTTGTACTTGAAGATTAGTTTGGAAAAACCCAAAATTTGCCGAGGTCTGGATTACATCTATAGTTTGGTTAAGTGTTTTGAGCAATTGATGATAACTGTTTAGTTTTCTACATGCAAATGGTATTGACCTTTAGTTAGATAAATGAAAGGTTATCAGCCAATTGTCTCCCCATGCTGTAATTACTTTGATTCCTTATAGTAATTGTCAAGCAGCGAGTTGCAATAACTAGATAAAGAATTGTTTCATCAACAAAAAGAGTCCTAATCAAATTAGATTGAAAATTTATCTATATCATAAATGAAAATAAGTTAAAAGAGAGCGCCAAGGATCAAATCTGTTAAAAGTAAACCATGAGAAGATTCGGCATTTATTAGAAAGAACGTGCATTGAACCGTTTAGCAATACTTTTGTGAATACCATTTTGTCCATTTGCTCATACATAATAACTAAACATATTTCTGTCATACATAAGTATTTTGGAAGAATCTTTTTTTTTCAAATTCCAACGAAAGAAGACATAGAGATTAAAAAGCTTTGAATTATCCTTTTTTGAAGAAAAGGTTGAATGTGTAAACTTCTTCCTTTCAAAATAAATAAATAAATTAATAAATAAATGCCATTTTTGTATTTCAAAGAATAAGTAAAAAATGAAGAAAAACAACTCTTATATCCATCAAAATTTAATCTACAATATAAACTATGCTAGAGGCCTACGTTGCCGAGTGGGTTAGGTCACTGACTTTCAACCACTTGTCCCTCATCGCTGTGATTCCAATCCCACCATTCATGTGTGGAAGCTATCAAAAAAGTTTACGGGGGATCGGTGTTTCCAATCAAGTACCCGTTTTTTTCTGAAAATAAAACTATATGCATATAGTGGTTACCGAGATCTTTCTACACCAGTTAAGCTCAAAAGTCGTCAAATGATATAATAAGTGCCAGTCTGATTTAAAACCTAGCCAGGACAGACAGTACATGGAAAATGTTAAAATGTAAAGGCTTAGAACATTTGGAAATGATTCAAAGTTAAATGTGGAATACATTGTGACACCTGGTGTAGAAATTCGTTTTTATATTGATATATTCATTATAAATTTTCTCAAATGTTGCTTCTGATTTTTCGGCATTTTGTTTTGCCTGATAATTCAGTCAAAGTTTTTTTCTTCTTCTGAATATTCATTTTGAGAAAACTTAAGAAAATCAGTCAGTTTACATATAATTGGATTGGTAATTCATTTTATAAAAGGGAGCATGATTTTAAGTAAAGGATATCCATTCAAATTATGTTTTTGATTTTCTATCCGTTACATTTGGTAACCACCCTGAAATATAGTTCATCATAACATAACTATCAGTATAGTTTGCATAAATCTTATTTGTTCAAATGCGCAGATTTTTCCCCTTTGACTAAAATCGTATCGAATTCCATTCAACGCTTATGTTTAGATTTTCTTTCCAGTTTTTGCACAGCAGAAGTTTGTTGAGGAAAATACAAACTTTCAATATTCTAGATGCAAACAAATATCGGACAATGTCTTGTGCGAGGCGCTTAATTTAAGCAAAGGTAAAACATAAATAATGTATATATTTACATGTATCTTAAGTACATTTCAAGTTTACAATTCCTTATTTGTTTTGCGTGTTTTTGATCTTGTGCACAACATCAATAATCTTTAATTTTTATAATAATAATGTGATTAATCAATATGTGTAATTAGATTTTGAAAAATATAGGATAAGATATACGTTATTGATATAGATCGTATATTATATAACTAGAATACCTCTTTAGTTGAATGGTCACAGGTGAAGCTCGTGCTATTGACACGAATTATCTGAACCTCATTGGCTTGAATATATTTCGCTAGTAATACAATACAAACTATATTATAATCGTCTTTTTTAATGCAATCTAGTTTGAAAAAAAACCCTAAAAAAACTAGAGATCAATAGTTTTGACCAGTTGCCCAAACTTCTCCAAATAAAAATACAACGACCCTTTTGTTTGACAGGGTCACATGACAAGGCAAGTCTATGGCCTGCAGGTCCATTTGCAATTTCTATGTCACAATACGGGTGTCCAGAGTCTGGGAGTCGTGGATGGACACATAGCGTATTAGATTTGAGAATTGAAAACAATAAACCGGAGAAGAAGAGGCAAATAAAGCTATGTGTTAAAATGCGAAATGATGCTGAACTTGACACCGAAAGTTGGATTCCTGGAAGATATACCATTTTCAAGATTGGAGAGAAATGCCCAACAGGTTTTCTTTTCTTATTTTATTTATGATAACTAATAACATACACTACTATATGATATTCTCTGCTACAAACACCTTATTTTATGAATTTGGTTTTTACCAAGATATCTTCGAATGATTAAATGAATAAAAATCATTTGTTCAGGGTGAGCATATAGTCGCCGCTTTGTCCGTCCGCCCGGATGTCTGTCTGGGACATACCTGTGAAACAACATCTCGGCGTAATATGTTGTGCACCTGTTTGTCCGCCCGTCCGTCTGTTAACTGATTTCGTGTTCGGTCTATGTAACTTTTGGACCGGTGGAAATGGAAACTTAATGTTTACAATAATGAGACGATGTGCAGAGCGCAGAGTTGACCTTTCTAAGGTCAAGGTTAAGGTCAATCTTAGTCATTTGGTATCAGTTTCAATGTCCGCCCATTATCTTTTGAACAGATAAAAAGATATTTAAACTTTTTGCAGGAATATTACTTATAATTAGACGGTTTGCAGGGCTTCCTGACATCATATTTGGCCCGTCCTAGGGATTAATTGATTTATAAAGTTACAAATGAGTTTTGTGTCTGGTCTATATCTTTTGAACCAGTGAAAGAAAGTTGGAACTACTTTTCAGAAATGCTAACCACAATGAGACCATGTGCAGAGTGCAGGTTTGACCTTCCTCAGGTCAAGGTAAAGGTCACAATAATTTTTTATCAATAACATTATTCGGTATCTTATATAGCCGATTGTTGGAAATTTATTTGCCAGAAATAATAATATTACTGAGATGATGTGCAGAGCGTAGGTTTGGGTTTTCTCTGGTCGTGTTCAATGTCACACCATGACTCATTTCAAATCCTTATTACAAAGGGAGATATAGAGTCTGAGATAGAAATGGAAAAGGTTACCCCCTCTGGGTATTTTATAGGACCTATGTAGTTTTAAAGATAAACATATAGAAAGACATTTGCAACTTGTTTTCTGACTTAAACGTTTACCATTAAGACAAAAGCCAATGTGAATTATCTGCCCATGTCACAATTTTTTAATAAACAGCCTAATTGAAATAACCATTAATATTTCAACCAAATGAATTGTTATGTGATCGGTTTTTGTTTTAGATCACAGTCACGGTCTCTAAAATGATTTAATTTATAATTAATTGATGTTATTACTTTTTAAAATGGCCGCTAAATTCAAAATGGCCGCCAATTTCCTATTAATTTATTAACATTTTAATATAAACATTGTGGTTTTGTGTAAAAAAGCAAAACATCACTTAATTATATAAAAGTTCTTTGTAGAATATTATAGAAGTTAACCCCTCCCCTTCCAATGTTTTACAATACAGCTAACTTAGAAGTTATACCATAACATTAGTATCAGGAGATCGTACAATTAATATTATTGCTTTGTCATCATTTTTAGCCGCATGTTGCATTATGTAGCATAATTCTGGTATCAGCTTCCTCCTGAGTTTTATGTAGATGTGGAATCGGTTTTCTTCTATTTTTCTATCTTTACTTTGGAGGCATCCCTATGTCTCTTCATAAGCACAAGATTCTCATTCCGGCCAATTTCCCTGCATATTTATCTTTAGAAAATTCCTCTAATATCAATCTTATCAATTGTTTCTTATTTTTATTATTATTACTAAATACCTTTCCAGTCTTGCAAAATTTTGGTTTTGTTGTCTTTTATCATGTATGTATCACTCATTCCTCTTCGTAACCTTTCTGCAGATTTGATAAATTCTGCTTTGTACGTATCTGTCACACGCTCACATTTTGGTAAATCTCAAAAAAAAAAAATCAGGATTGAAGGAAGACAAGAAAATGCTTGAAGATAGAGATGTGTATTATGTTTTTGTTACCTGGCCTCTGTTCATTGTATAATCGCCTTCGATATCATGTATTGGTTATGCCTTGTCAGTCTTTGTTGGTAAGACATTTGCTGTAGCTAGAGACCAAGGGTCTGGTCTAAGCGGGTATGTTAGTGTCTTTTCAAGGATAATGTCATTGTCTTCTGATAACATGATAAACTGACCGAAGACAATGCCAGCGGCCTTAAATTCGACAAGATTGTTTCTTCTTGTTTGTTTAACTTTCTCAACTTTCTTTGTATTGGCAAAGGTTTTTAAGTTTTGCTTCTTCAGTGGAGCATAAAAATTAACGATTTTATCAACCACACGTTCTTGGGTGAGCTTTTTGTGTGCTTCAAGTCTATTTTGGTGACACAAACAGACTCGTTTCGATCTTCTCTGGTGCAGGAGTCCCTGAACTTAAACAGAACAACACATTCCTATTATCTGTTGCAAATGGATTCATAAAGTTAGTTATTGATTCTTTGAGTTTCGTTACATTTTTTTTTCAAATGCAGCTATATTTGCTGGTTGTGTATCAATGTGTGTAGAAGAATCTGCTGATGATATGCCGGCCATGCGGAACTTGGCTTCAATCTAGCTTGCTCTCGAGTGTTGTGTTTGACTCCATCTGTAGTAGGCAGCAAAGTTTCTGCTGAATTTTATTATACCTCTACGAGACTTTGCATCTTTGTTTATTATTTGCTCAATATTATATTAACAACATTACGGGCACAGGCCACATTTGATCTGCTGACACTGAATCTATTATTTTATAAAAGCTTTCTTGATCCTGGGTGTGTTGAATCAATTTATTAAACATAAGAAAAATAGACAGATATATATTTTGCATAGCTCTGATGATCATATACAAAGAATAAATGTAGCATATTTTATAATGTTGATATGTATACGTCAATATCATTTTCCATCGTGGCTCTCATAAAACGAAGAACCAGCCAAATCTTAACAATAAATCCATTCAAAACTATGCCATCTTCCCTAAGTGACATTTTCTGACATTTGACTTGAACCCTTGATACCTCTCGAAAAGTTCAATGACAAAATCATTAGCTAACACATCTTCAAGGTGTTCATGTCTTTGATTCTCAGCTAGCACATTGAACGCTTGTTTGATATCTTCCAATGCACTAGGGTTGTAGATTTGCATAACTTCAAAAAGCAGTCTTTCGAGAGCTTCAACTGTTTACACATTAATACATTCACTCTACTCTATCAGGATTTCAGAGAAACCACTTCCACAAAGCCTTTTTCCAGTCGCCCCTAGGCATGAACCTTGAAAACAAAAAGACCATCAATGTATAATAGTATCACTGTACTTAGTTGGATTTGCCATACTATAGAATATGCCTTTTTGCAGCAGCCAAATCAAAAGTAAAACATGTGAACTGTTGGTTTAAAGCTCTTGAAACACTTGAAATTTTCGGAATTTTCTGGACAATGACATTTTTGTTCTTCGGGCATGTATTCTTCTGAAGAGGATGTTTGATCTTGTTACTCAGAGGCTAGAGAGATCCAGCCAGCCCAACTTGGAACAGTCTGCTTGTCATGTTCTAGCAGTCGCCGACACATGAACCAGAGAAAGTCAGATGAAAGAGCAAAACCCGAAACATTTCTTTTGTTGAAACTTATTTATTTACGGTTCTTATTCCCAGTAATTAAACATTCAACCAATTCTTCAAGATTGTATTTAATAGTGTGTACCTTAGTCGCCTGTATATTTGATATACAGAAGCAGGAACGGAACATAGAAGTCAACTACCAAATTTTCAATTTGTTTCTCATATATATAAGTGAGAGAATATTAAGTTTTTAGAGAGGACAAAAAGTCAATATTCGCATGAAATTCAATTAAAAGTGTCTTATCAAACTCATAAGGCAGCTCAAATCGACCCCAAACAATTCTGGTTCATAACTCTATAAAGTTAAAATAATAAACATGAGCAGACTATTTAGAATTCTTCACTAAGCATATGATAAATAACTTATAATAACATCAAACTATTTATTAATTGGTGTGAACACATTTATTACTGTTATGAATTGTAAATCTGTCCAATAATTGGTGGCAATTTTGAAGTGGCACCATTTATTATATAGAAGATATTGAGTGAGTGCAGTTTAATACTAAATTTATTGAATGAGTTGAATACAATCATATTATGCGAGCCTTTGGCGAGCATAATATTGTTTTATTTAACTCGTTCAATAAATTTAGTATTGAATCTTCACGAATATAATATTCTTTTTATCACATATATTAAATAAAAACAGTAAACTGCTAAAATTAGTATTTTTTCAGTGACTTGCCCATAGTGTAACGCTTACATAAGCGCGCTTTAACGCTATGTTTCTATATAGCGCAAATGACGTCACGCCAAAGTGTTATTACACTAGTGTAATATGGTTTTTATTAAATGGCTTTATTACACTCCTGCGTCGCGGTTTATGTGATAAGTTATTTTATTATGTTAATATTTATGTTGATATTTTAAAACTTCTATCATTTTACACCTTTCTATGTATCAAACTACATTTTAAGATATTTTTTCTGTTAAGATTATAATTAATTATTGGGGATATCGTAGGTTCATTTGACTGAATTTTTTGAAATAAGATATTCTTATTTATTCAAAGAGATGTTACTTAAAATATGCTAAAATATGATAAACAAGATCAACAAGGAAAGGCGGCGCTCAATGAACGCTAAGTCACTGAAAAACAATTAGTTATAAATGATAAAGGCACTTTATCAAACTTTGGACATGAATGATGTCTGAAGTACTGGTAGTTCTTAATTTACAATGTTACCTCTGTTTGGCCATATTGTGGGCAGTATTTCTCTAATTCAAAGACTGATGTGATCTGAATGGTTGTTATAAAGTTGCTGTTCCTGTTTGATAATACATTAAAACAGAATTATGTTCAAAGGAAGAAAACCAAAAATAAAAGGCTGCAAAAGGTTTACTCATGACTACCACTGAATTTTTGAATGACTGAATTTTAAAAGCTTTAAATAAAGGGAGGAAATAAGAACACATTTTCACATGCCCAAAATATTATATTCATGTCAAAGATTAGATATTTTGCACGCATCGATGCATTGTTGACATCTACAGAAGTTCTATAAATCAATTA